TTCCTCTTCTGTCATGCTTATTCATTGCCCACCTCTCTGATGCATAGAAGACTGTGACCTGGGTTAGGCACACCTTAATCTCTAGACTAACATCTTTGTATTTCTGTACTCTGGAGAAGTCTGTTGACATTAGACTATACCAGTCCAGTTCATCTTTTGATTTCTTGGCTGCTGGTTCAAGAGTGTTAATTATACACCCAAGCTAGCTGATATTGTTGACAATATCAAACTCTTTTCTGTTTATTACGGTGCTGCCAGTTGGCCTAGTGGTGAGAATCTTTGTTTCCTTGTCCATATTGAAGACTGCAGTCCTTGACTTTCTGCATCAGAGGCAGAAGTTTTAGCAAGCAAGGTTGTATCATCTTCGTAAAACAAGTTGTTGATGAGTCTTCCTCCAATTCTGATGCTACATTCCTCCTCATAAAAACCAGCCTCTTGAATGATCTGTTCTGTGTATAGATTGAAGAGATACAGAGACATGAAGCATCCTTGATATGCTCCTTTCTTGATTATGAAGAACCATTTGAAATCCTGCCCTATTTTTGTGATCTCCGACATGCTTGAGCCATCTGCTTGTCTCTGTCAATCCATTTTCTTGAAGGTCTTACTTTCTTATACTCACCCTCTACCTTTCCTAGTATGATAGGAGTAGAAGATAGTAACCTTCCATAATAGCTGAAAATAGGATCCTCAAATAGTCTACTGGTTTCAGATGTTTATTATATCAATGTGTATAATGATACTAATTTTGCATATTCATTAGTAATGATTTGTTAGGCATTTTAGTACTTAATCTCTTAATGTATTGAGTAATGGTAAAATATATTTTGAAATGAATAGGCAGTTAGATAATTGCGTGTATGACAGTTAGCAGTCTGGTTGAAGGTCTTCCTCTCTTTGGCAGACTTTTCACCTTCCCAAACATGATGTACCTCTCCAAGTAATAACCTTCTTCTAGCAACTTGCTCAATGTATGTGGGATGATCTTTGTCATCTTTTCCTTCAAAGAGCGCTCTAACAGGACTTTCATTGACTGTTTGGATCACCACAAACTATGGGTAACTGTTGCAGACCAAGGGTCCCAAAGAATGGAATAATTTTATAATTATTAATGATGAGACAAACGGCCAGGAATGACATAGAGCAGAGAGCATAAAACAGGGGGTCAGCAGTTCTCCACTGAAGACCTCAAGCCAAGCTTCTCTGTGTCTTTATTGATAATCTGGGGAAACAAATAACAAAAGGAATTCCTTGTAAATGAAGGCGATCTTTTCTCTGTTGTCAGCTTAATGCTCTAGCTCAGGAAGTATTTCCCAGAAAGTAACACTTACTCTGTAGGGGGGCCCTCGCTGTCTCCCGTCTGCAGGGAACAAACAGCTCATTTTCTGGGATCTGCTACAAGAGAAATCCTGACTTACAAATCTGTAATTCCTTCAATTCCTGAACAAGGATTTTCATATAATATTCGGTATAAAGTTTGACTTCCCATAGGTGACTCTGAGAAGAATGGGAATCCCAGAACACTTGATCATGCAGAGCAAGGAAACACTGCTACATGGTTCAAAATTGGAAAGGGTGTACACCAGGGAAGTGTCCTATCTCCATACCTTTTCAGTCTATATGTAGAGCAGATTGTTTGGGAGGTTGGCCTCTATGAGGAGGAATGTGGTATCAGGATTGGAGGAAGACTCATTAACAAGTTGCATTATGCAGATGTCACAGCCTTGCTTGCTGAAACGAAGGAGGACCTGAAGTGCTTGCTGCGGTAGGTCAAGGACTGCAGCCTTCAGAAGCTCAATATCAAGAAAACGAAGATTCTCACCACTGGGCCAATTGGCAGCATCATGATAAATGGTGAAGAGATTAACATTGTTCACAGCTTTAGTTTGCTTGGCTCCGCAATCCACATTCTTGGCACCAGCAGCCAGGAAATTAAAAGACTTGCTGCGATGGGAAAGTCTGCTGTCAGAGACCTCTCTAAAGTAGTGCAACGATGTCAGTCTGGAGACGAAGGTGCACCTGATACAAGGCATGGTCTTTACAATCACTTGTTATGTGTCAGAGAGCTGGAGAGTGACTAGGGAGGATAGAAGGAGAAATGGTGCCTTGCAGCTGTGAGGTTGGAGAAGAATATACCATGGACTGCAAAGAGAATGAAAAGGTTCTTCCTGGAGACAGTTAAACCAGGCTGCTTCTTGGAGGCAAAGATTCTGAAGCTTCATCTGACAGACTTTGGACATGTTGCAAGGCAGGTGCAGTCTTTGGAGAGGGACGTCATGTTTGGGAGGGTGGAGGGGCAGTGCAGAAGAGGAAGACCCTCGATGAGGTAGATTGAGTCAATGACTGGGGTAATGGGGTAGGTGTATCAGAAAAAGTGAGATTGGCACAGGATAGAGCAGGGTTTGGGGCTGTTGTATATAGGGTTTCTATGAGTCACAGGCTACTCGACGGCAAATAATAAGAACAACAAGATAATTATGATAAAACATGGTATAACCCACTTTCAGAATTTGTCAAAATTGCTGTTTAAAGTACACTAATGAGACCTCTTTTTGTGCTTTTTCTTCATCCTTTTAAAAAATTGTATACTGATTTATTTACAAAGTTCAAATTAATTGTTTTTCACACAAGATAATGATTTTAATTTTAAAAGGTTGGTGATAACAATTCCACTACTGGGAATATACCCTAAAGAGACCATAAATGACATCCT